TATGTATTTTGAAAATATTTACATGTATATATTTATATTAATATAATTTATATTATATAAAAATATTTTTAATATATAAACATAACATTTTTCTTAAATATATGCATGCAAGCGCATGTATGTACATATACATAATAAATATACACAGAACACATACATTATGTAAACAAAACTTTTTAAATATTTTTAAAATAGTTTTATATTTTGTATGCGATTAATCGTTTGACAGCACGTATATATATGTATATGTGTGTGTGTGTGTGTGTGTGTACGTATGTATATATATATTAGTGCTGGGCAACGATAATTTTTTTTAATTGCATGATTCTTCTGCAATTAATCGCATTATGCACAAAATTCAATAATGAATTAAAAAGTAGTGTATTGTGCACTTTTTTCATTTAAATGTACTGCTATATGAACAAAAGTGCAATAACATTTGGTTTGCAAACACTTTAAACAAATAAAGTGCTTTTTTTTTACAGCAGTAGCAGTTAAAATATTTCTTGTAAATCTCAACTTATAACATTAATGTAATCAAATTAAATATAAAACCAAAGCTATCTGCCACCGCCAGGGCATTAACGTTTTTATAGAAAACATTTTATAGATTGTTATAGAAAAACAAGTTATGCTCAGAGTCCAGAGCCCCGATCATAACATTATAACAGGCACCTTATGAGTAGAGACATATATATAAAAGTTATTAGTTGCTAGTAGTGCTGGGCAGCATGACCAAAAATTAATATCACAGTATTTTTCAAAATTATACCGGTTTCACGGTACATGACGGTATGTTTTTTCATGCATGAGCCGGTGTTAACCATATTTTCTACTGATTGAGAGGAAATACTGCAGTATATTGGCTTAGAATGCTCTATTTTACTGTCATGATGAGTGAATATTGTCAAAAAATACCACACTAAATAGTGACTAAACACGACCGCTTTTAATACATGTTAACCAGGAGTCACTCTCATTTATAATCACAGCATCGTCTGATAAAATCAACATGCATCTACACTAAAGAGCGGCTATGCGTTGTTTTGGCTATATTACTTTTTTGTCTCATGCAGCGCACTGCGCATCTGAGTAACAAACTAAAAACAACAACAAACAAAAAAGTGCATGTGATGTTAACAGACGAACTATTTTTATAATTCCAAACAATCAGTAAGCGACAGG